AGGTGAGTGATAAGGATATATGAGAAAAGACAACATGGTATTTTACAAAAGGCATTAGAAATGCTATGAAAACTTGATTTGGTTATTAAAAGTGAGGAGGTTAGACAGAATAGTAAAGAGTTAGAGGAGCTGATTTTTTATTCTTTCTGGATACTTGCATTCATATAGCTCTATGGCACATACAGGGTTGGGCAAAAGTAGCTTTACAGTTGTTCCTATGGAAAGAATAAACTCCATGTTTCACATACAACTGTAAACCTGCTTTTCCTCTACACTGTATTTTGTTAAGTCAGTACTTTTCAGGAATGCACTTTATATATATATATATATATATATATATATATATATATATATATATTAAATGAAAAGATATAATGTTTATATTTATTTTAGTCAGCAGTTCAATATATATACTTCAAACTGACAGAGGGATCTCCATTGGACACTACTATGCCTCAGAAATCTAAGGTATAAACTGTGATGGAAATGAAAGAGACAGCTCCTATTGAATCATTTGGGCATATCTTTATTAAAGGCAACTTAAGTAATCTACTTCTGTCACTTTACCAGTGCTGCGACATCTTGACTTTTAGAGCATCAAGAGCCACAATAAAATGTCAGTATTTTTTTTTTTTTGGCTAGGCATATAATACATGATATGATAAGAACAAAAAATATTTTCAAATACTATTTGGTTGGTTGCAAATTACAGAAATCCAACTCAAAATGTCTTAAACAAAGGGGAATTATTGATTCTGTGTTGGCTTTATATTAGATTCGTATGCCAAAATGCTGTCAGAAATTTCTCTCTCTCCACTTCTAGAGTTTCCTTTTATATAAGTTAACTATTTTTAGTCGTTGTTCCTCTTTCCATATGATGAGAAGACAGTCACTAGTAATGTCAAGCTGTGTTTTACTAGATTAGAAACAGGTATCACTATCCCAAGAGTTTCACCATATTCTCAGGCTAATTCTTATTGGACCATCATGTGTCATGTGCTCAATCCCAAATCAGTAAGAAGCTGAATGAATGAAATAACATGTATCTACTATTGAATCGCTTTATGAATGTAAGACCATACATAAGAAGCAACCCTAAATAAATATAGTGCATACTACTAATTGGGGTATTTTAAATTATAGTGGAACGAGTTTTGCATTTATTTTAAAGTATGGTTTAATGAAATAGTTCAATAGTTTTTTAGCCATGATGAAGAAGGCATTATACCTTACAAACACTCTCAGACTTTCATAAGACCATAATGTGTTGAAGTTCTTATATGGAAGAGGAATAAATTTGTTTGTTTTAATGTTCATTTTCAATCAGAAACATATCAATATTAAAACCTACCTATTTGTTATTTTAAATACTTTTCATAGGATTCCCATAGAGGCTCTTTTGTGGTACCACTCATACTAACATGGGTTTAGGTTTGTACAGGAACTTTACAACACAGAAATTACAGAGCAATTTTATGGGAATACCTGATAGTAAAGAATAGGATACTGTCAGTACAAAAATATGAAAGACATTTAAATATATAATCATCATCCCCCAAAGAATTTCTTATCCCTTCTCCTTCAAACTGGTGTTTGTATCTCTTTTGTATCAGTACTTTTTACACTTTTCTGCACTGACACATTTACACATCTGTTTTCTACAACTCGTCTAGAAGTTCCTCAAAAGCAGGGACAGTGTCTCATATGTCTGTTATCTCTAGCTCCCAACACAGGGCCTGGGCCACTTGGTAAATATTCCATAAAAGACTGGATAGATGATAAAATTGTAGATCTTAGTTCCGAAGGGAAAACAGATTTGTAACTGTCAAGAACATGCCTGATTTAGTTGGTATATATTATATCAAATAATTTGTATGCTACTTAAGATCCAGTTCTTTCTCTCAATTATTTTGAAATACGAATACATATATTTGTGTATTTGTGTCAGTTTGTTAACAAACTTCACCACAGCAAATGAAGCTGTGCATATGATTGAAATCTGATATTTATCATTTCAGTGGGGACACAAACACTGTCTATACACAGACTTTTCCTTTAGTAAATGCTGTATCCCTGTGTCTAAGAAGTAAGCAAGTAGGCTGTCTTATTCTTCCTGCTCCTTGTCGGTCCCAACCTCACCCCCACCCAGGATTCAGTTGCCCACCGTCTCTAGGCTTCCACTCCGGTGTTTCACTTCTTCTTGGCTCTGACTTAACACATAAAATGGAAATGGAGCACTGCTGTCTCTGAGACATCATACAAATGAATTCTTTTTTTTTTTGTCTCAACTTCTTATTAGAGGGTCTGTTTTCTATGTCCATGTCCACATTAGGTTAATATGAAGTGTGCCAATATATATTTTTAATCATTAAAGAAAAAAGATAGTGTAAATCTAAGAGACTTTTAATATATTTGTGTCAACAATAAAAATTGGGTGACATTCCGTGGCTAGGCTATTAAATATTTATATTTATTAATGTGGAATTTGATAACATTTATGTTTCCTAATTTAATTTCTAATTTAATTATTAAGATAAATAATCTTATGCAGAATTAGTACAATCTAAATTTAACAAGTGCTACATATTATAAATATTAATATGCAATTATTAATGTCTTTTTTTAAATTATAACACACCTTTCGTTATCTGTGGACAAATGCCAGTTATGTCTACAAAATTTGGGGGTCACTTCAGTATTTGAATTATGGCTGACAATATTCTATATAAGTTATTTCAAATAGTTATAAAATAAATTTCAGGTAATGGTACTTATTACAAAAAATATCTTTAGTATAGGGATAGATGATATGGTGTAATTCTTTAACTTCTAAATATACAGACTTTTAGTTTCTTGAAGAGTCTACCCACTGCTTCTAAACTATATATTATTTCAGAATATTTTAGTATTGAAAAGAAAGAAAAATCATTAAAGAGAGAAATAAAAGAAAGGTAATGTGCAATTAAGTAAGTACTAGGCACACATTTGCAAGTTCTTTTGGGAAGGACGGAATTAGTACAAGAGTTTAAAAAGTAAGAAAGCTGTGGATACATTAGATGTAGTATGAGACTGGTGTGCAGTATGTTTTCAACAATATTTTATTGCAAAATTGTTCTGATTTTTAAAAGTAATATTTATAAATAGTACTAATATTTGGCACTCAGAATTTAAATTCTTAAAAGTAAATTTTCTCAGTATTTTGTGTGAACAATATAAAATATAAGGATGATTCTAATTCATATTTATAATTGTTTTAAGATGTAACCATGGCTTAACTTTCTAATTATAACATTTTAACATGCATTAATTCAGCATTTCAAATAAATAATTTTCTATAAAAAAAAGCCTGTGAACAAATTAAAATGTTAAAATTTTATTTCTCAGTCTACTTCTTAAAACTCAATGCTTTTAATCACATGAAATATGAGGGATGTATTTGACATTCTTAAGAAATGTTTCTAGAAAACTTAGATTTCCTTTAATTAAATGAAATGATTATATAAACAAATCTGAATGAAACAAAATTCTACTGTGATTATAAATTATATGAGTTGAAAGAAAAGTGTATGTGTGTATGTGTGTGTTTATGTGCATAATATATGCACATATATTTATGAGGTGACCCTGTCTAGAATTTGAATTTATACTTCCACCATTTGCTATCATCAAGAGCAAAATGCCAAAAATGTGTAGCTCTGTTTCTTGAAAATACTCTCACCCAAATCTGTTGTAAAGATAGCATGGTATTACTTGCTAAAAATGAGCGAATTAAATATCTGGTAAAATATCCAAACTAAATTCTTTTTCAAATTTTAACATATTATTTCAGCCTTCCCATGTTAATGTTTGCGACAAGGAAAGCAACACTTTAGTGCTTTGTTAGTGACACAACACACTCAGTTTTTCATCTACCCAATGAGTCATAAAGCAGTGCCATATTTTTTTTTGTGTGCTACCAAAATACAACTTTAAATGTAAATATCTATATATTAATTTCAGGGGTTACGGAGGATGCCATACTCATTCTTTACTTTTTATTTTATTGTGATTAAATAAATCAAAATATGTTGATTTTTGTGGCTGGATGTTTCAATACAAATTGGCTAAAGTAATTATAATTTATATGGTTACACTGGATTGTTATAAGTATACATGTGACTGGAGTAATTCTTCAGTATCCATGAGTAATATGGTTTTAAGCCCTATTTTAAAAATATAGCTATGGCTGCCAAAAAAATTATCTAGCTAATAAAATTAGTCATTTTACAAATTTAGATAGGATATGTAGGTAATATAATTCTCAAATCACCTTAACCTACTTAAAATTATTGAAATGTTTAATTACTTATAAATACTTATTGTTTTGTAGGGTTATATATTGTGTATCAGTTTAGTTGAAAAACTAAAATATTCTTAATTATTTTATTGATCTCCATTTCTGAAAATTTAGTTGTGAAACAAGTAAGGTATTAAATAACACAAAAATTGCTAGGTGATAAGGAACATGAAATTAATGTTTTGAAGGGGATCAAGGTAGAATTTGCCTACTTTTTTTTTTTTTTGCTAACTTTGTTCCTGCACTCTATTTTAATATGTTAGAGCAAAGATATTCTTAAAGTACAATAGGTGAAGATTCATCAATAGCATTTTGATTTTGGAGCTATATAAAAATGTTTGCATTGATATATAGTTATTATTCCCTGTTAAAAATACTGATTTCTTAGAATTTGTACTGCAAAATACACAGACTAAGGACAACTTTTTAAAAATAATTGAAAGCTGGGAATTGCTCTTTTTTCATTTGGAAATCCTAATTTCACTATATCGTTGTATTAAAATAGGATGAAAGCCACTTTAGAAGTTGTGATGTTTCCATCTTTCGTAAATTATATCTCAACTAATTTTCAATTTCTCATTTTACTTTTTCTAGGGTAGCGAAGTAATGTAATGTATGTACGCAAAACAGAAGTATTATTTATATGTATTTTTTTTGATTACAGGTAAAGATTATAGTTCCCAACAGCACAGCAGGTCTGATAATAGGGAAGGGAGGTGCTACTGTGAAGGCTATAATGGAGCAGTCAGGGGCTTGGGTGCAGCTTTCCCAGAAACCTGATGGGATCAACTTGCAAGAGAGGGTTGTCACTGTGAGTGGAGAACCTGAACAAAACCGAAAAGCTGTTGAACTTATCATCCAGAAGATACAAGAGGATCCACAGAGTGGCAGCTGCCTCAATATCAGTTATGCCAATGTGACAGGTCCCGTGGCAAATTCCAATCCGACCGGATCTCCTTACGCAAACACTGCTGAAGTGTTACCCACCGCCGCCGCCGCCGCAGGGCTCCTAGGACACGCTAACCTTGCCGGCGTGGCGGCCTTCCCGGCAGTCCTATCTGGCTTCACAGGCAACGACCTGGTGGCCATCACCTCTGCACTTAATACATTAGCCAGCTACGGATATAATCTCAACACGTTAGGTTTAGGCCTCAGTCAAGCGGCGGCAACAGGGGCTTTGGCCGCAGCAGCTGCCAGTGCCAACCCAGCAGCAGCAGCAGCCAACTTGTTGGCCACCTATGCCAGCGAAGCCTCGGCCAGCGGCAGCACAGCTGGCGGCACGGCGGGGACATTCGCATTAGGTAGCCTGGCTGCTGCTACTGCTGCCACCAATGGATATTTTGGAGCTGCTTCTCCCCTAGCTGCCAGTGCCATTCTAGGAACAGAAAAGTCCACAGATGGATCAAAGGATGTAGTTGAAATAGCAGTGCCAGAAAACTTAGTTGGTGCAATACTTGGCAAAGGAGGGAAAACATTAGTGGAATACCAGGAGTTGACTGGTGCAAGGATACAGATCTCCAAAAAGGGAGAGTTCGTACCTGGCACACGGAATCGGAAGGTAACCATTACTGGAACACCAGCTGCAACACAGGCTGCTCAGTATCTCATTACACAGAGGATCACATATGAGCAAGGAGTCCGGGCTGCCAACCCTCAGAAAGTGGGTTGA